AAATATACTATAATACTCCTAATTAATCATTTTATAAACATTTCCAACTCCGTTCGAAAAGTTGATAAAATCACCCTCGGGCCCACATATCCGTATTCCAAAAAATTTCGAAGATAACCATTACCCATAGCCTCACGGATTCAAATATATAATTTATTCTCAATTTCATGCCCAAATTCGTGATCAAAATCCAAGAATACCAATTTCTAGGTTTTTCTTCAAAATCCCAAATTTCTATAAATTTTCATGTATAAATCCATATATAAACCTTGCATTTAACTCACAACTAGAAGAAATCACTTACCTCTTGATGGTGATGGAACTCCCTCTCAAAATGCTCTCAAAAATCGCCTAAGTCCAAGTGGGAAATGAGGGAAATGGGCTAACTCTCGGAATAAAAGCCCTTGGCTCCAGTCACAGATGTCGCATTTGCGACTTATGGCTCGCAAATGAGATGGTCGCATTTTCGACAAATGCATCACAAATGCGAAGCCAAGCTGCCCCTGCCCAGGTCGCAATTGTGACCAAGATCTTCGCAAATGCGAAGGGGACAAGTCCGCAAAAGCGATAAATTATTCTCAAATGCGAACCCCTCAGAAAATTCCCACCCTTCGTATTTTTACGATTATGAAATGAGATGTCACATAGTGACTTTTTATTGAAAGAATTATATTCAAAATATTTATTTGGAAGGATTTTTATTCAAAAAGTATTTATTGAAAGAATTATATTCGAAAAATATTTATTTGAAGAAATTATATTTGAAAGATACCTATTTGAGGAAATTATATTTGAAAGAGATTTATGGAAAGAATTATATTTGAAAGATATTTATTTGAGGAAATTATATTTAAAAGAGAGTTATTTTGAAGAATTATATGTGAAAGATATTTATTTGAAGGACTTGATTTAATTGGGTGTACTTGTATTTATTATTTGTTGAGCGATATTAATGGTGTTCTTGTTGCCCTGCTGTGCATATCACTGGTTGATTTGTGTTGCTCTTATTGTTATTTGTTTCCTATTATTTTTGCATACTATATTGCACAGGTTATTAGACTAGTGAGTGTCTTGACTGTACCTCGTCTCTACTCCACTGAGGTTAGTCATGATACTTACTGGGTACCAACTCTGGTGTACTCATACTATACTACTGCACATTTTTGTGCAGAGCCAGGTATTGAAGATATCAGACTCGGACAGAGATAGGGTGGGATCGCAAGAATTCAAGGTAGAGTTGCTTGGTCGTCGCAGTTCCTTGGAGTCTTTTCATTTTTATTGTACTGTTAATTATTATTCAAACAGTACTGAGTATTCGATCCTTGAGATCTTTTTATGTATTTAGTTAAAGTTCGTGACTCAGTATTACCAGTCTTGGGAGATTGTTTGTAACTATTTCATTGTTAGTTTCTATTTTAAAAAAATGGCTGGAAATGTGATTATAATGAGCTTACCTAGTCTTAGAGACTAGGTACCATCACGACGCCTGAGGTGGAATTTTAGGTCGTGACAGAGCAGCTCACCACTATGCCTCGGGATAACGGGGGTGCGCGCCTGAATGACTACCAGATGCATCTGCCTTAAATCCTGCACGATTAGTGCAGAAGTTTAGAGTGAGTACATAAACAATATGTGCCGGTAATTATCCAGTCCAACCTCGAAGAAATAGTGACGAGGGGGTCGACATCGACACTTATTGTGGGCTAACAAATAAAATACATAAATTCTAAATAGCCATAGAATATGTGAATAATAATAATAACACAATGGCAAGCAGTGAATAAATGATTCTTTAACTTATAGTCAATTTAAAGATATCCAACTAACATATACTAACTCCAATAATTTCGGGCCAATAAATAAATTATAACCTCTCAAGTCATAAATATAATATCAAGTGTAATCGGATTCCAAGCATTATCAGGCATGATTTATACCGAGGTCGTACGGCCATTCAAAATAATGTGTACACTGCCGATGGTCGAACAACACGAATCATAGATGCATCTATTATACTACCGAGGTGTTCGACCCGCTCCACAAGAAGAGAGAATACTCTATGAACATCCGATTAAAAATCTATCACAAGACTAATACACAAGGAAGCACAATTTCTATTAACCGTCAAGTAACCCGCCAAAACTAAAAGTAATTGAAATTCAGTCTTTACGAATCCTTTATCAAGTCTGAATATAATTGAGGCACTTAAACTACCCGGGCATAAGCATGATTTGTAGCTACGCATATACTCTCTTCACCTCATGCATACGTAGCCCCCACAATTAGAAGAAAATAGTAATATAAAATACCTATGGGGTAAATTCCCTCTTACAAGGTTAGACAAGAGACTTACCTCGTCCCAAAGCTCACTTTCCGGCCCACAAATCCACTCTAAAGCCTCAACTTGGTGCCGAATAATCCGAAGCTAGCCAAATATTATATAAATTAATCAATATAGACTCACAAGTTCATAATTTAGCTATTAGAGTAATTACCCAACCCAAATTGGAATATTCTTAAAATTCACCCCCGGGTCCACGTGCCCAGACTCCGAAAATGTTTGGAGACAGATGTTACCCATAACCTAACGAACTCAAATATATAATTTTCACCCAATTCCATAATCATTTTCGTGGTTAAATCCCATTTTTATTAAAACCTAGGTTTTCAACAATCTTCGAAAATTTGCACATTTTACATGTTAAAATATACCCATAATCTAGTATTAAACTTACATTGGGTAGGAATTACTTACCTTCAATAGCTAGGTGAAAACCCCTCACCAAGAAACTCCAAAATCGGCCAAGGTAATGCAAAATGAGAGAAAATGGCCTAAGTCCCGTTTTTAAAACAAGTCTCTGCTCAGGCCTGCCTTCATCACGATCGTGGACAAGCCCTCGCCATCGCAAAGGCAAAACTGAAGAACCCGAGAAAATCCCTCTTCCCGATCGCGAGAGGACACTCGCGAACGCGATGCACTGAACTGTCTCCGCATCGCGAACGAGTGCCCTCACTCGCGAACGCGTAAGGAAACTGGGTTGCCCAGGCCCAAACCCTCGACCCTATGCGAACACGACACGTCTCCCGCGAACGCGAAGGCCACTGGTCCCAAGCCTTCCCGAACGCGGCCAAGACTTCTTGAACGTGAAGCACAAAACCACCCAGTCCCCAATGTGTTTGGCAAAAAATTATTTAAGCATTAAGTTTGGCAACGGCTATTTTTTTGACAATGACTAAATTTCTAAAGTTTGCAACGGCTAGTTTTTTGAATTATTTAATAAACTTAAAAGTTTATCGAAAATTAGAAAACTAAGTAAAGAATTATAAAATATTAAAACAAAAGACTTGTAATGAAATATTCTAGTAATTATAAATATATAATAGAGTTATAGTTTATTTAATATAATTTCAAGCTATTATGTAACTAAGTAAGAGTGTAAGACAATTCATAAAAATAATTCAACGCTTAGAGCCTTTTATTTTATTAATAGAACTTTCAAATCATACATACAAATATAATTCTTTTGAAGAGCACCTAAACTACGCAGCCACCTTCTAGGAAGGGTTTTGGAATTGGCAATGTTTATTGATGTTCCATGAGTTCCATGCCGTCATCGCTCCCAGTGCTAAGTATCTCATTGTATTCTTCTTCTTCCCTAGTGGTTAATTTTTTAAAACCAAGATTTCTACTTTCTGAATTAATCCAATCTCTGAATAATACAGAAATCTCTAGGTTGTCCTCCGCTAATGAATTTCTATGATCTTCGATTTGAAATCTTGCCGCGCTAAAAGCACTCTCCGATGCTACTGATAATGCTTGAATCACCAGGATATCTCGGGTCATTATTGAAAGTGTTGGAAAAGCCTTGCCACGCTCCCTCCACCATGCCAAAAGTTGTTTGTTGCCTTCTTCGTCTTTAATACTTTCCAATCCTTGATTAAGATAAGAATCAAGTTCATCATCAATAGAGGAATCAAAACATGTTATATCATCCATATCTTCCCATAGAACTTCTACTCTAGACTTAGAAGTAGAAGAAGCAGTTTCACCACTTGTTGTTTCTATAGATTTATATTTATCAAACATTGATCTAGCATAAGAATATATTTTAGCTTGGCAGTCTTCGAGAGATGGTTGTTCATTTTCTTGAATTGCTAAATTCTCATAAATTTTACGAACAAGTCCTTGCACCTCTTAATTTTAAAGATGGGTTAAGTATAGTAGAAATTAAATAAACTTGGGGAATAGGAAAAAAATAATTTTTAAATATGGCTGTTTTTGGCCGTTGGGAACGGCTATTTTTGCAATTGAAGCCGTTGCCCAACAGCTATAATTCAAAAAAAAAGGATGCGGGACGGGACGGGATGGGACGAGACGAAATGGGACAAAACGGATGGGATAAACGGGACGAAATGGCATCCCGTTCCATCACGTGTCCCGTTTAACATGGGCCCATCCCGTTAAGAATTAAGTGGGCCGGGACAGCCTTAATGTTGCCCAAGCTTATTGAAGTCCCTTTAAACAGCCGAGCCAATTGAAAGGACGCGAAATAAAATTGAAAATCAGTTGTACACGTCTCACATTAGTGTGAGAAGATATATTGGCACCGTCGTATCAAAAAGTTAAAATTGCAATCCTACCCCATCAGGGAAAAGGCAAAACCAACCGACATGACAAAGTTGGGTGAAATTAGGATTAAAAAAAGGTCAGATGTTAAAGAATCCTTTTCACATAAAAGCGTTTGTTTGCTTCACTTATTAAACCCCAACCCTAGTGACATTCTTTCAACACCACAAACAGTACTAGCTCGAATCCAAACAGAATGCCTGATAACTTTATTGCCCATGATAATATTATCGATGTACTGATAAAATTTCCTGTGAGATCACTTTTACGGTTCAAACTCGTTTGCAAATCATGGCGTTCACTAATTGAAGATCGTCAATTCATCAATCTTCACCAAGATCGATGCAAAAGTGATATAAAAAATTATCAAAATCAAAAAATCTTTCTGAGTTGTTTTGGAATGGTGACGGAGCAAATCTACCACTACTCCTTAGACGCCCCTTCACTTCAACGTGATTCTGTTGTCTCTCTTCTTAAGCCTCCAACAATTCCAGAATCTTCATGGGGTGGTAAAGTATATGTGAATTCTTGCAGTGGGTTATTTGTTCTAGCTCTCTCTCCTTACAATATTGTCCTGTGGAACCCGACCATCAGAGAATCAAGAAAAATCCCAAGTCCAATCTCCATTCATGGTGAGGAGCGGTCCCATACTTTTTATGGTTTAGGGTACGATTCTCCATCTTCCAAAGACGATTACAAAATAGTTAGACTAGGATTAATATATCATCCAGATGGACATGATGTTCAAATATTTTCGACCAAGAGTGACTCGTGGAAATTGATTGGGAAGCTACCCGTAAGCTATGACATTGAGGGAGATATGGTTGTTGCTGATGGAATTGTTTATATGATCATAAATGAGCCACCCGACAATAAATTTATTTTATCTTTGTGTTTGAAAAATGAAAATTTTGAAGAAATATTGTTTCAAGGTCATCGGGACCTATTAATGGAAAAACCAAATTTGTTCACTGTTGAAGGATGCCTTTGTTTGACAAAGTTTTCGTCCCTTATTAATGAGTTGGCCGATTTCGAGGTTTGGCGTATGAAAAAGAATGGAACCATGAGCTATTCATGGAGTAAAGTATTAGCAATTACAGTGCCAGTGCCAGATGATAACTGGCTTTGTACAAGAATCCATGTCCTTCCTGTGAGCTTTATGAAGGATGGAGGCATCTTATTTCGGAGGAGTAAAGCTGAATTACTATTTTACGATCCAAAAACACAAAAGTTTGAAGAAGTTAAAACTGCTGGGCTTGAAGCATCACTTTACTTGTATGGTGCAGTAACATATGTGGAGACTTTAATCTCTCCTAATGCTCTCTAGGAAGACAACTGATGAGTTTATGCAGTGACTAATAGGAATACGAGAAATGATTTAGCAAGGAGTTGCCTTCCTATAAATTTTTCGTGATTTTGAAATGTTAAATTTTACAACTTGCAGTAAATATTAGAACGATTAGTAAACATTCGATTTGTGTTACATTTATCTTTCGTTCATGAAAATCCCCGTCGTTATCGATCTTTCATCTCAAATATATCCTTCGAATAACAATTGTCCGGCTTTTGCCTTTGACGTTTGATATAGTGGAGCCGTATAGACAAACAAAATATTGAAATTAACCTCTCATCTATCAAAGCGGTTTTATATATACCCTATATATATAATAATTTTAAGTATGCCCCTTAACAATTGAAAAAGTCCAATTATACACGAGACAATATGATTATACCATACTCAAAAATACTTTCTGATTTGAAATTCTAATAAATCTTATAATTTTATATTTTATACCATTTTTTCTCCTTTTGGTCCTCGATTATCGTTATTGCTTTATTCGTTGCTCAGTATGATTCTATTATCATATAAATTTTTTAGTGGTTTGCCTTTAAATTTAATATCCTCGCTTATTAACTCTTTTAATATAACATAGATAAAAAAGATTTCTTACTCTTGATAAAGTTGATTATTAATTTATTACTCTTTTACTTGAAATTCATTCATCATTCTATATCTTTTTATTTTTGACTTTATCTATTAAGGTTTTAGTTATGTTTTATTATTTGTATGAATTTTCTCATCATAATTCAAAAATACTTTCTAATCTAAAATTCAAATAAGTTTTGTCTCAATCATTTTATAATAAAAATTTATTTTTCTTGTTAGTAAGTTTATTTATTCGTTGCTTGAAATTCTTTTACTGTTCAATATTATTTGATTTGATTTATTTAGATTTTAATTATGTGGTATTGCATTGTATTTTTTTCATCATAATTGAAAAAATCACTTTCTCATCTCAAATTTAAATAAGTCTCATCATTCTATATTTTTTACTTTTTCTCAATACGCCACTTAGCTTCTGTAACGACCCGGCCAGTCGTTTTGAAAGTTGTAGCCTCGTTCCCCCATTTACTACTGATCTTTTTGTACTTTATAGTTGTTATGTGACTTGCCGAGGTAGTTAGTTCGGGTCCGGATAAGGTTTTGAAATGAACTCACACACTTAGTCTCCACAAGAAAAACTTAAGTTGAAAAGATTGACCGGATGTTAACTTATGCGAAAACGGTCCTGGGATAGAACTTTGATGATTCCAATAGCTCTGTATGGTGATTTTGGACTTAGGAGCATGTCCGGATAATTATTTGGAAGTCCGTAGTTGAATTAGGCTTGAAATGGCTAAAATAAAAATTTAAGTTTGGAAGTTTGACCGAGGAGTTGACTTTTTGATATCGGGGTCGGAATCCGATTCCGGAAATTTTAGTAGGTCCGTTATATCATTTTATGACTTGTGTGCAAAATTTGAGGTCAATCGGACTTGATTTGATAGGTTTAGGTTCGAATTGGGGTATGATTCGTGTTTTTAGCGTTGTCTGATATGATTTGAGGCTTCGACTCAGTTCGTATGATGTTTTAGGACTTGTTGGTATATTCAGACGGGGTCCTGATTACTCCGAGTGTGATTCTGATCTAAACCAGATGAATTTTTGAACTTAGGCAAAATTCTAAAAATTTGCAGCTCCTGGTGTCATCGCACCTGTGGAGGGACTGACCGCAGGTGTGGACTCGCAGAAGCGGATAGGGGGCTGATGAGGCAGTGGTCATAGGTGTGAAGGAAATTCCGCACCTGTGTGACCGCAAATGCGTACGAGAAGGGTGCAAAGGGGAGGTAGTGCTGGCCTGGGCAGACCGCAGAAGCGGTTGTTTTCTCGCACATGCGAGTCCGAGGTAGCGGCTAAGTTTCCGCAGGTGCGAAAGCACTGACCAGATTATAAAACAGAGGGGTTCCGACATTTTAGTTATTTTGGACATTTTCAACATGGTTTTGGGCGTTTTTCCAGAGAGAATTCACACGAAAACTTGAGGTAAGTCACATGTAATCATTGTTAGTCAATAATATAGGATTATCATTGAGTATTTCGACTAGATTATATTTTTTGAGGTGAAATTAGAGGATTTGGGCCTAGGGATTTCAAAATAAGAATTTGAGATTTAGAGGTCGAGTTGATGTCGGAATTTTGTAAATTTGATATAGTTGGACTCGTGGTTGAATGGGCGTTCATATTTTGTAACTTTTGTTAGGTTTCGAGACATTGGCCCCACTGGCAATTTTTGAGTTAAATTTCGGATTTTGTTGGAAAATTAGTATTTTCATATGGAATTAATTCCAATAATTTATATTGATTGAATCTAATTAATTGTGACTAGATACGATGCTTTCGGAGGCCAATTCACGAGGCAGAGGCATAGCGGAGTGAAAAAATTCACGGTTTGAGGTAAGTGACTTGCCTAACATTATGTGGGAAAAAGTCCCTGTAGGATTGGTATTGATGTAAAAAATTGTGATATGTTGAAAGTTGTGTACTCGAGATGACGAGAGTGTACAAGGCTAAATGTAGAAGATTATGTCTTTAAATTGTGTAGACCACTATTGCATATTAATTAAATTATTTTATCCTGTTATATTCATCATCATGAATCTATTTTTATATTTAAAGTTTGCCTCACCTTTTCCTGCTAATTGTTTTACTTGTTTAGTTGAAAATTTATTTCTTTTATACTGTGCATTATTTGAAGGTTGGATTTCTTAATTTAAATATTATTAATGTAAAGTATTTAACATTAAAAATTTGGTATTGAGGCAAGGTGTTAAATTGTTATGTATTATTTTTGTTTAGTTATTCATTCCCGAATATTTTGTGAGATTTTGTACTCATTGTAATTGAGATGTGAGCTCCTTATTGTACAAAATATTATTGTTGTTGACTTATTTTGGAAAATTGAAATATTTGAGCGCTTGAGGTGCAAATTGTGATATATTGTGATATTGATACGCATGCGGTGGTATAAGGTCAGGGTGTTGAAACACATGCGGTGAGAAAAGGGTAGCTTGATACGCGTGGCTAGTAGGGGAACTACTAAAAGTCATGTGGTGTGATAAGTTGGCTAAAATGCGGGATGCTATTTCGGGAAAAATAATTTCTTTAAAATTAAATGTGAAGGCTCCCGCGGTGATATAAGAAAATGAGATATTGTGAATTTATCTATGATTTGGGACTACGAGGCGGTACCTAGGGAGTGCCCTTGTTGATATTTCTTTATGGCTGCATTTGCCGTTGGTTATTTTGTGTTTTCCTTAAAGTTGTAAATTTATGTTTTCCTTCCGCGAGGTATTATTTGCCCTTATTTTATGTAGTTAAATTGTGACATACTACTTACTTGATTCATTCCCATTGTCATTTTATTATTATTATATTGTTAAACTTTTAACCCTGTCTTTTATTATTTCCAGTAGGGCCTGACATGACCTCGTCACTATTCTACCGAGGTTTGGCTTGGAACTTACTAGGTACCGTTGTGGTGTAATCATACTACGCTTCTGCATATTGTTTTGTGCAGATCCAGGTACTCCATATCAGACCAAGTATCAGTGAACTAGACTGTACACGAAGACTTCAATGTACATCTACCAGCGTCCGCAGACCTCGGAGTCCCCTTCTATCCTTATTATATTATTTTCCTTATTCTCTTTAGACTCTGATGTATAGAGACACTTGGAATAAATTCTTAGAAGCTTGTGACTTATTTCTACCGAATTTTGGGAGTTGTAATTATTTGAATTGCATTTTTATTTATTTCAGATATCTATTATGTTATTTCGCACTGATAGACTTACCTAGTCTTAGAGACTAGGTGCCATCACGATATCCTACGGAGGGATTTGGGGTCGTGACAGCTTCATATCAAGCTTGACTACCATCCTTTTAATATAATTTATACAACTTTTAATATATTATCTTCATATTAAGTTTGACAATCAACTTGGCTTCACTTTCAAGCTTGCTTAATTGTTTAATTGTCTAAATTTATCAATAATATATTGAGTATTATTTACTTTCTTCCTTTTAATTATTTCTTATATTTAGTATTTTATCTATAATCTATAACCGACATAATGTTATAGGTGTCATGATCCAAAATCCGACTAGCTGTGACGATACCTAACCCAACCCATTAGGTAAGTCAATTTACAAATATCCGTTTCAAATCATATTAAACAGAGTCTAATACACTCAACCTAATGTTAGGTTTAACTACGGACTTCTAAATAATTTTTCGGATACACTCTCAAGTCCAAAATCACCATACGGAGCTATTAGAATCTTCAAAATTTTATTCCGAAGACGTTTACAAAATAAGTCAACATCCAGTCAACCTTTTCAACTTGAGCTTTAAGCCTTGGAAATAAGTGTTCCAATTCATTCTAAAACCTGTCCGACGAGTCAAAAAATTATAATTGAACACAGGATAAGTAGTAAATGAGGGAACGGGGCTGTAACATTTAAAACGACCGGCCGGGTCGTTATATTCTCCCCCACTTAAACATACTTTCATCCTCGAACGTGCCAAAAGTTGTTCCTAAGCCTTTAAATCAATGTTCCACCCTACCATGCACATACCCGGGGGTGATCCCACGCTACCCTATTCCATACAGGCCTGACAACATAACATAATTGAAGATCATTCCTTTAACCTTAGCCCGTAAAACTTAGAACTCAATTTCGAACAGTTAGAATTTCTTACAAGACTCGAGTCTCGCATCTAAACATTGTATAAGTCTGAACAAGTTGTATCAAGCAATAACCATAACCCCAGATATAATCACATAACCTCATAACCTCATAATGAAAGAAACGCGCGAAACCTGAACAAGTTGTATCAAGTCCGATAATGAAAGAAACGCGCGAAACCTCATAACCACTCATAGGACAGGTCAGGGAGTTTTCCCTCGTTCAACAAGTACCATAGCCAATTATCTAAGCCGATT